TGAGGGCAGACCTCCCTTTGTGCCATTAAAATTCTCGTGTATCGACAATACGTCCCCATCAAATCATAAATAACATTAACACTACAATTACCGAGTACTTGATCCGATTTCCAAACATTTCCACATAGAAACCATAGAAATCCATCGACCAACATATCAATCAATTTATATTTTAATCTATATATGAACAAATCATATTTCAATCATTTCTCGAAGGAGCAATTCGTATGCGTTCAATAAATTTGAAAAAAGAAACGACTCATTCGTCACTTCGATCCATCTGCTAGCTCCACTATTAAAACAATCGCCCACTTCCGTTTAATCGAATTATTCGTAACAGCTTTTACAACCGATCAGGTCATCGAGAAACTATGTTCGGTCCGTAAAAGCTTGGGAACCACTGTTCTATTCCAACCCTTCAGTCCATCCGCCCTTTCCGCCGTCAGGTTCCACCGCGTAAAAAGTTCGCTGCGAACGATCGTCATTCGGTAAACCGACGTTTATCGTTTTCTGCGACGCGCCCGTTGCGCTTTCCCGATCCTCCGTTTCCGTCGGAGGCCGACCGTCCCTTTCTCTTTCCTTCGCCCTGCTCTTTTCTGCGGGTTTTCCCACGGTGAACTGGGAACCGGCGGTCGTTGTCTTTACGGCGGATCGGATAGCGGAGGGTGGGTCGGTTCCAAGTTACTTCGAGGAGTTTCGATTGTTATGGGGTGGATGCTACCGTTTTTTCGGCTGGATTTCCGAGAATTCGATACAGTTCTTTCCCCGTTTTTCCATCGGGGGTGGTTGCGGATGCACCGTATTATATAGTTTCCTGAGTCTTTCATTTAAATTTACTTTAGCAATTTCCTCGGATTAACCCTTAGCGGATTAAAGTTCTTTTTTAATCAGTAACTGCAACGAATTTTTATAGCATTCCTAGCGAAAAATAGAAATGCTATAACATTTCTTCGATCTTTCAGTTTTCTTCATTAGACTACTGCAATATAGAGAAGACTACTTTTCTCTGAACCTCTCACAGAAGAATCCATTCCATCTATTCGAGATTTCCAGATTCCTAGACTTCTCTTTAACCCTTAGCACTCCAGGGTGTTTTGTAATCTATCGGCAACTGCAACGAATTTTAGTATTCCTAGCGAAAATTAGAAATGTTGTAACATTTCTTCGATCTTTTATTTTCCTTCTTAGTACAAAATTCGGATGTGTCAAGAATCTAATAATTTTAGGGTAGTTTCTTTAAGATTTATTAAAATATTTAATATTATAACTGGTTCAATATTGGAGCCTATGAACCCTTCAAAGGGTTAAATTATTTTTTGTTGGTATAGTATTATATAAGTATATAAACTATTTAGATTCACGAGTTTCTTGTTGATTCCCTCTAAGATAACTTCTACTTCCCTTTTGTGCAAATTTATTCTAATATTCAGATTCAATCAAAGTTGATCGACTCTTCTTGCGTTTCTACATGCTCTCATTTCTGATTCTAATTGAATTCGAACGCAGTGGGCAGATTCCTATGAATTTTAGACCGCCGAGGGATCGATTAAAACGGTCACAACGCACTGTCCACAGAAACACACGAATCTACGTATCTATGAAACGATTATGATTAGATAGAGAATTCCGCTGGGAGCACGGAAAGAGCACCGGACTCGTTAAACGTAGAATTTATCGTCGATGTAGAAGCGATTCAACCTGTTGAGCGCAGAACTCGATCCGTCCGTGCGCGTCGAATATTTAATCGGTCAACCGTAGAATTCCGTCATCAACATATAAATCGTACAATCCGTTGAATAAAAAAATTCAACGTTGTCCTCTAAAATATTCAACCCGAACAGTCTGTTCAAAAACTTTCCAACGTAGAACCGTAGAACAGCAGTACCGATACAGTCGAATACAGAACTACCCGACGAAAGTATGAAACAGAGCTGGACGGTAATCGCTATATAAAATTCTACGATCGAAAAAGTTCGAACGATAAATCCCGAAGTAATTCGAGGGAATATAGCAACAAAGTTGCCGGTACTCGTTACCTGTTACTACAGCGGCTCGAACAGTAAATCGAGAACAGTTCCGCGGTGTGTTCGCGCCGTTCGCTCTGACAACAACCGTCATGGAGTCCCATCCCTCGCGGCAGAAGTTCGTACAATAAATCGGGAACTGTCCCGAAGTAGAATTGCAGTATTCAAATTGACGTTAACCACTATAGAATGCCCAGCTCAGAAGTTCGAACTATAAATCGAGGATTGTTCCGAAGTAGAATCGCGGTGTTTAAATTAACGATAACCGCTCCAGCGTGCCGCATCTCGGCGCAAAAGCTGGAACAATAAATCTGGAACAATCTAGAAGCAGCACGGTAGCATTTAAATTGACCACAATCGCTATGGGATCGCGGCAGAAAAGTATAGACCGATAAATCTAGAACAGTGCGTGCGGAACGGCGGCGGTCGAATCGACGGCGTTCCTCGTAGACTTCTGCCGCCGACAGTAGAACGTTCGAACGATAAATCTCGAATCAATCTGCGCGGAAACTGTCCTACCGAAATTGACGATAATTGCTGGACGATTTTGCTGTCTGGAAGATGGCGCGGTAGATCGGGAAGTAGATTGGATCGGTGTTAACGATTTCATAGAGCAAAATACACAAAATGGGAAAAATATAATATTATATCGTTTAATTGAAGTGCGTTATTATTATTGCACGCTGAGCTTCCTCAATATCACCGCGTTCGGAAGCATCGTTTATAATACAGAAATATTGTCGAATAATTGTTGTTTAATTGAAATGAACTGTAGTAATTCCATTTGGTTGGGTGTCACCGGTGACCCCCTAGTATTCTACGTGTTAAGAAACTACCCTAAAATTATTAGATTCTCCACACATTCAAATTTGATGCTAAGACGGATAATAAAAGAAGAATAATTCGCAGATAAATTAAGCAATAAAGTTATTTTATTTAAATGTTTCACATAGCAATAGAAAGTTTAATTTAAAATACTAAATATTCAGCTTCATAGTTTTGCTGTATCAAATAAAGTGGTGACTGAGAGTCACCTCTCGAGTGCAAAGGGTTAATAATTGCGAAACAGATCGAAATCAGTCATTTTGACTGGTACGGTAGTTCTAGTGTCAATATGCTTCCTCTATTAAAATTACATTTAGCTGGTAATGTCAGTGATCGATTATAGTTGAAAAATAAATCGTAAGAAGTTAACACTCAATGATATTCTCTTCAAACCAATAAATTTCCTGAACAAAATCCTAAAAAAATGAAACTGAGACGAGTCATCAGTTCCTAAACACAGTATCGTAGCTTATAATTTCTAACAATGTCTACAGGATCAACTTCATTTTCATTACGTAAAATATAGGATTACAGTCAGAAATACGCGACGCTGCCAGCGAACGCGTTGTTCCATTATCTCATGACCTTCCACGTCGACCCGGCGTCCACGATTATTACCAATCCGGACCGATACGACGCGATCCTCGAGTTGCTCCTCGCAAGACAAAGTGTCTTATTTCACGTCGCAACTATGGTCCGCCTCGGGATCGAAGTTTCGGAGCGACACCGATAAATCTCCGAAAAAAACCGGTGAATTTTCTGACGTCGCTCGCAGCCGGCAGCCCCGAAAGGTCGGCCGCGT